GTGCAATCCATTAAGGGGTCGTGCAACTATATTCAACCACCCATGTGCATTCCAAGGTCCTTTAACAGGGGCATTGACCCCATAAAAAAGGAAAGGACAAATGGTGTAATATACCGTATTTTTTTTGTTGGTTGTATCTTATTGTTGGCCTCAGGACGTGCACCCCAAACACATGGGACCTACCAAATACGTCAACTAACATCCATATGATTCGTTTACCTTTGTATCAGTTGGTGTTGCCGGGCCCTGATTTCCGGGGCTTTCAACCCAGAAAAACCATGGATCGCCATGTGAGGAATCACAGCCTATAGTTTTTGCTATCTGGTTGGTGGGTCAGGAGACCTTCGTACGTCGTGGACCAGGGTTCCAGGTTTTGACCCAATCCCATTTGTTCAAATAAACCTTTGCCATTCATACCAGGTTGTGGCAATATGATGTCTAAATCATTGGTTCTTCAGATCATAACCAATGCATCATCATAGGCCCCTCGATCCATTGATAGACCTGATGGACCTCGGCTGATCGCAGATGATGTCCAGACTGTTCGTTCAGAGCGGCCTGCGGCATCGCAGCGAGGATGGACGACCCCAAGAAGCATCGTTTCGGCTCGCGATAGCGGGAACCATGACAAAATGGTGTGAGATGACCAATTTTTCTTAATAAGAGGGATCAGTATCAGAGATTTGAGGGCGACAAGAGGTATCAGCACGACAGGATTCCATTGAACGGATGAAATGATGATGGCACCAGTACTTCACTGCCAGTCACCCTAACAAGAGCGCATCGATCGTATACCAACACGGAAGGAAACGACCGGTCCGCGCGACCGCGGACGGGGCAGGTCCTCGAAGGCCTCAAGGAGCGCCGCACCCTACCGGTGACTTGGCAATTCGGGCGATCTGCTCGGGATCCCCTAGGGCTCCGATCGTCCCATCTCCTCAGGTGACCGGTGGGCACAGACCCTCCTGGCACCCACCCCAACCATCTTCGAAACGGAGGTAGTTGGAGCCCTAGGGGATCTAAACATGATCCACACCGAACCTGAGGTGGAGATTTCGAGACTTGGTCTCTCGCATGCCATCCACAGACCTCTCACGAACCAATCGGTCCGTACGGTGAGACAGAAGGTGATGCTCCAAAACGTCTGACGGTCGGTCCTTCGTTTCGACGGTGGGGGTGGATCCCGGCACTCGTGAACACCAGGATCCCTGGAAGGCCGAAACCCGGGGTGGACCCCCGTCGGCTCCGTATGGTTCGGTGATGAAGGGGTGTCCATTAGCCAAAAGTGTGTGGGTCCTGGCAGTTCTTATATTCGGCCACTGGGTGTGAAACAACTTCACGGCTGTCGGGAAGTAACATGCAATTTTTGAGGCTTTAAGGTTGACTTGGTTTTGTAGTCTAGAACTGTTCGAAAACCACATGGTTGCTTGGTAAAGCCCATTGAATCAATGCCCGTTGGAATCCTAGGGATTTTTTGTTTGCCAAGTAGAAGTATACACGGCCAAGCTTTAAACACACATCCCTTAACCTCCATAGCTGTGGGCCTAGATCGACTGGGGCTCTGGCGCCGCGTGTCAACGGGCCTGTCGCAGACCAACGGGCCTGGATGGATTATGCTGCAATTGGGGCACCATGGGCCTCCACGTATATGGCCGTCCACTGATTGGGACCCAATTAAACTTGAAACATCTTCCCAGACGCGACCTGTTTGGGACTGCCATATATGCCGCCCAGTATGCCGCCCCAAACCACCCCAACTGATCGGCGTATATGGCAGTCCCATGGAGTGTTTGGGTTCCAACTGTTTGGCTCTGTTGAATTTGAACAATCTCTTGAGGAACTAGCAGAGAACTCGAAGCAATCCTGGGGGGGTGTTTCACCCTGTCCTTCCCAAATCCAGGAACTTTCAAGATTAGTCGTGCATCTCCCTGACAGGGCTGAAGCAGCGGCAAGACGTGTTTCTTCGCCCCCCCAACGGCCCAAAAACAAACAAGAGGTTGAAGAGCCCCCGTATCCCTAGTTTGACTGGTCCCAATGGTTCCTTTTCAGCTCACTTCACCTCTCTTGGAACTCGAAAGAACACCCGCGTGGTCACGCGTCGCGTCCTCCAGGTGAAGACATTCTTGGCTGACTTGGCGGCGCCTTGGCAGGAGAGTCGTCCGGCTCACCGGTGGAGCACCTGGCTTCGTGAGAAGCCGAGGCGAGTCCGATGATTTCAGGGTTCACAATGGTGTGATGCGTATGAGAGCCTTTGGGTCCAGTCTGACCCAGTAAAACCTGTTGCTTTACCTCCTTAAGTATTGTTTTTGTATGACAATCCCCAGTACAATGAGGTCTTTGACTGTAGGGTAGTATGTATACCATTTAAAAAAAAAAAAAAACATATTGAGAATTTTTGTAATACCTGGAGTCGACCAGTCGATAACTGTGGGACATGGGAACATATACATGCATATATACAGGTAATGTCAGTCATGTCCCATTTGTCTTTGGGTCTATAGGTAGATGGATGTTCTTCGCACCGGTCAGGCCCGGTCACCCATCAGCCTTCAAGCCGTCCGACCCGGTCACCCATCCGACTCGGCGAACCCGAACCGAAGGACACCCAAAAGTGGATGCATTCAAGTTTTCAGAACCCAGATGGAGATTGACAGGCTGTTGCCTGATGCTCATCAAGTTGCCGTTGATGCAAGAAGAGTAGTTCGTTTGACGTATCACAGTTCTGGGCAGCTTATCCAAGCAAGAAACCAACCTGCCAACCAACCAAACAACCCACTTCTCACCTTGGCTTCCTACACCTCCATTGGTCGCGGTGCGGAGCTCGCCCCGTTCGCCAGCCACGGCACCGTTCCGGGCACCGCCTCGCCGCCGACTCGCCCGTGCCAGCGGAGCCGACCGTCGACCGAGGTGCGGATGACGGAGGTGGAGCCAGGCCGTCGCCCCAGTGCTTTGGAGCTCCTCATGGAGCTCGGTGAAGAGGCCCGAGGGGGAGGGGGAGAGCGGAGGAGCGGAGGGGGAGAAGGTCGGCGAGGGGGGAGAACAGCTGGGATCGGCCTGATTTTGGGGGTGTAGAGGTTGTCTGGTTGTCTCTTTGTTTTATATATAGTTTTATTTGTTGGGGAAAAAAGTGTGCCGGGTTGGAAGAAGTTCTCTTCCAGAATCCTAGACCTATATAGACCAGCCTAGACGTTTGATGTGTTTTGCGTCCGCACTGACGTGTTTCGTTTCTGCCTGGTTCTTTTCTGTTTCACCTTCCCGTAATCGGTGCACCACCACCAGCATGGGGGCCCATTTCACTCCAAGAAGCGTCCGCTTTACCACCGTGTCGGACTTGCAGGAGGTTCACTTCCAAATGATCCAACGGTCACCCGTGTCGGGCTCCAATCACCTCCGTTTCGAAGATGGGACTGGGGTGGGTGCCAGGAGGGTCTGTGCCCACCGGTCACCTGAGGAGATGGGACGATCGGAGCCCTAGGGTTCAACCAACTCTTATTTTCGGGACCAAAGGTCGGGCTTCATCTTAAGAACCTCGACTCATCGAGGTGAAGGTGAAAAAGAGTGAATATATACCTCGATCTTCATCGACTCCTGTTCCGACTGGCCCAAACGGCTCTGCCGAAACGGCCAGTGCCAGGGGCCCAGGCCACGAGAGGACTAACACAAGGGATTCCTGCCAGTTCAGTCTTGGAGTTGCGGTGGGGGTCCGATATCAGAAGACCTTTCTTCAGCCTTTCTCCACATCCAGACGCTCCGTGAAACCAGCCCGGGTCCGGACTTCTCCAGATGAGGGTCATAGAGTCATTGAGGGTCCAGACCCCTCCAGTCAATGAGGGTTCAGGAGCATGTGTCTTCCAACATCTTCCAACCTTAAAACCACCCAAACAATCTCGTCCAGCTGCGCCAACGACTCGACCGTTGAACTCCCATCGGTCCGATATCAGCGGTCTTTTGTCCAACCCCCTCTTGGTAGAGGAAAATCGTCTTCCAAGGGCCACTGTCCACTTCCATGATTGTTTCAGGGAGGGTCACACCTAGCCCGTCGCTTGGTCAACCGTGCCGCGCATCATCCTCCCGGGAGTGGTCGAACCGGAAGGTCTCTGGCTTTCCAGACCCGGAGAACTGCGCCTTGGGCGGGGAAGGAGGCGGAACCAAATCTGTCGCCCAGCATCAAGCACTTTTCGGCTTGACGAGTGAAGACATGTGAAGCGCCATGAATGGGATATATTTTCTGTTACGGGGGGGAAAACCCTATAGAGCTCCTGTCCCACATCCTGTCCGAAGGTAGGAACAGACTTTTCTGGCACCAAAACCACCTTACCCGAGGAGGTGGGCAGGATCAGATACCAGGATCCTCCAAGTCGGACTCCCGGACGCCAAAACGTGTCGCACACTCGGACTCGGACCACGACCAGACCGATCGGACCACGATCGCAGGATCCTGGTTCCTGTGGGGTTTCGTGATACTGGTAGACTCTTGATGACTCAAACCCTCCTTGGGATACACCCTTTTCTCCAAGTGAACCAGTCGAGTGAAAAAGGGGTAGGGGGTACATGACATTCATGGCGAAATAGGTCGACCGAGGTAGATCCGCTGCAAGCTGCTAGGGGGTCCTGCCCGGGTGGCCAGACCTTTCTTCACCTGACTTGGATCACTCCAAGAAGCGAAACGACGCTTATTGGGCCGTCTAGACGCCAGAACCTGCTCCTTTTTCCAGGCATTGGCTCAAGCTGGAAACAGATGAGACTTGAAACAAGCGTCCGAAGACGGTTGAATCTTATGGCAAAATTCGATAGCTTTCTATTCAGCACTGGGCCGGACCAGTTGCGTAGGTGAACAAAAGCACTTAAAAGAAAAACACGGTCGATGCTCAATTTGTGAAAAGCGACGGAGTCAGGATGTGTTTGGCAGCTTCAACTATCATATTATAAGTTGCTCTTCAGAGTCTTCAGCAACCTTAAATACTTGTTCTCTCCACCCATCGTTTTTCTAAAAAGACGCCATGAAGTTCGAAGATCGTCACCGCCGCACTACGGACCTCTTTTGGCTCTTGCTGCTTGAAGTGTATGAGGGTGAAGGTGAAGTCGGGAACAACTTGGTCAACGTACAATGGCCTTCAACCAGCACCACCCACTTCGAGTGGTTTATAGACCCCCCTGGCCCAGGACTGTGCCTCATCCCAAAACAATCCCTTTCCGTCCACAGAAAGTATGCCGGGTGCCAGCGACATCCGTTTCGCTTCCGCTGACCCGTCCCGGGTCCCGAGTCCTCGGAGGTGCTCCGGAGCCCAAAAACTGGGGATCTGATCTAGTTGGTCTATCCCAAACACTCCATGGGACTGCGGTATATGCCTTCAAAACGGCCAGAGGTGGTGCCAGGGGGGGTCTGTCTGGGGCGGCATATGGCAGTCCCAGTAGTCGTGTTTGGGTATAGCCATGTGGCTGTTGGGTCAGGTTGATCTCTCAGGCAGTCTATTCTGTTCATGTTTTGGGTGGGAAAAACTCAGGGTGTCCCGGTGGCATGATCCACAGCCAGGTCTAGCCAGAATGGACAAGAATAGACGTGACATGTACTTAGACATGTCAATTCCTCGGAACGAGAAACTTCTCTTTCACCTCTCACACACAACTTGCCGCTCCAGTCTGAGTCGCTCCTCGCAGACCTTCCCTATTCAGGGTGTAGGATGAGGGTATGATGTACACAGTGAGTATGTATCAAACTTGCAAGATCTACCAGAACCATTCTTTCACCTCTCCAAAACCACTTGGAGAGGCACAGACGCCCAATGGCACAGATCTGAAGGTCGGTGGTGCAGACCCGCATCTAAAGAACATCATGGCGTGCCAGTGCCATCGAATGAAACCACAAAAAGAGCGCTCAGATTTGAACCTTCTTGTTTAAATTTGTTCAATTCTCGGGTCTAGGAGTCTAGGAGAATGACTTGCTGGAGGAATCGCCAGCGCATATGATTTGTCTTGCCGGTCCTTTTTATGAACCAACACTTGTCACGGTTTATGACGCTCGCTAAGCACTCTCCATATCGCTTCCCTCCCCGAAGATCGGATATCAAAGACATCCAAAACACGACTGGACAATTCGACTGTTCAGTGACCACTGATCTGTTCAGGTTCTAGGAACCCAGCGCCTGGTTTTGGGAGTTTTTTTGTATTTGGGACATCCATCTGGACACGAGGCTCTTCCTATGTGGCCTGGATGGAAGGGATGGCCTGGATTCGGGAATGTCGCGGGCGCCCTGTGGATGTCGCGGAGTGTTGGGAGGCTCTTCCTGTGCGGCTGGGAAGTGGATCAAGACCAGACAGGGCAAGACCAGACCATCACTGAGCTTGATATTGTGCAAAGGATCGCATGGAGGGGGCTGATTTGGGGAGCTGGCTGGATGTGTTGACCTGGATGAGTGCAACTGAGTCACAGTGATCTTACTTGTAGGGTTCGGGATTGGGAGAATTCCTATGATCAGGAACACAGGGAATACAGTAGTAGTTTCGGCCAGAGGACGAAACGTCTTCGAGTGCTATGGGATATCGGTTTGATGGCATTCTGTGGTCATCGACAGATGTCTATCCGACAGATGGGGTTCATATAGAAACCTCCAAACTTGGGGTAACTTGTGCCATCTACTCTTACTTGATGTTGAAGGGTTTGCAATCAGATCGCGAGCACCTCCACCCGTTGTTGTTCCGGGGCGACCTGCTGGCCACCACTCTTAACCACTCGTTTGGACCACTGTTGGACTCTCAATGGCCCGGGTTGAGCGTCGGGCCATGTTCAGCGTCACTTCGACCTATATAATAAGTGACCTTGAAGATTTCCTGGTTGATTCGGTCACTTCGACCTTTAACAGGTCTCTGACTGGTCGGGACTCCAGAAAGGCCACTTCAATAAGAAGTTGGTCCATGTTAGTCTGCCAGGGAACTGATTGACTTCGCGGAGGAGCTCCACGAAGCCCCCATGGTTTTCACGCAGACCCTAGTGCATCAAACACCGAAACACCACAGATTTCACTGGCCGATTGGCTGATGGCAACCTATATATGATACCTTGGTTGAAGAGACGTCCATCTAGACAGATCATTTTGATCGAGCGGTTGGGACTGTTTCACTCCAACTTTAGCTTTGTTGATGTTTTGCACTTGTGATCCGTGCTAGGCATGCCATGAACTTGTTGTGTTGCCAATGAGGGGACACAGCGAACAGCTGCAAACTGCTTAGAGTGCAGCACCCTTCACACTCTGGTGTTTTGGATGCGGTGACTGATTGTGGTTCTTCTTTTTGTGTGATTTTCCCTAACTGCGGGAGGACTCCCATGAGCATGTAACTTCCCTAAAGTTTTGTAACGTTCTTCATTGCTGAGCACATATGAGCACCAATGTTTCTCATAGACTCCCAGATCAAGGAATCTGTTTGTTATTCTTTTTGCAGGGTGCATTCTCATGCCGTCCCATGACACAGGAATAGTTATAGACTGTTATATAATACATTTATATACTCCATTGTGTGTTTGTCCGAACTTGCCTGTAACAGGACCCGTAAACAAGCAAATCACTTTATTTTGTTGCAACCAGGCCTCATCATCCACTTAAAACCTGGGAGCTTAGGATAGACTCACCCCCCATGGTTTATGACCCAACAGAGCGCGGTCGCTCTTATATAGAAAGCATCCATATTTCAGTCTGATTCTGTTCCCTTGTTCTTTGTGCCAGGACCTTCCAAGTCCGGTGGTTTTGGGACACCACTTAACTTATAAGAGGCTATATAATAGACACCTCATGGTGTCGGTCCTGGTGTATGATGTGTGTTTTTGTTCGTCCAATTGCGAGAGTTGCCGCTCTCCTCTTCTCCCGTGGCAGAACCCGTGGCAGAACCTCCCAGGTGCCGTGGCGGCACAGGTCTTCTTCGCTGGCGTAGCCTTGGTCCATGGAATTCAAGTGGATGAGCTGCAGGCGCCCAAAGCGAGCGAAGCTACGTGATTTTTTCTGTGACTTTGCGGGTGCTTCGCTGTTTAGTGGCTGTTTTATTTGCGAATGCCAAGAGAGTGACTTTGGATGGCAGAAATGGTCATATCTTGAGCTGCCCATACGCAGACATGGGTCGAACAAACATCGGCGGCCAACATGTCGAGCCGGGAAGAAAGAAACACGTCCGGTCTCCGGGCTCATGTCCGAGCTTCTGTCCCACATCCGTTTCGGTGGGTGATAGACAAGCAACAGAGATTCAAGAACACGACTGCTCGACTATCCCATAAATTAGGTACCCCAGGAACCTGATTGACGGAATGTTTGAACCTCTCAAGGTCATTTTTTGTCGACCTTTTCGGATGTGCTCCTGTGGCCGTCCATACCTAGTGGTGTTGTGGGCTCTAGATCAATGCTGTGATCCACTAACATGCGGGAAGACGGGTGGTTTTCACCCACTGCCCAACCAAAGACTGGATCCTCCCAGCGAAAACCCAACAGACTACGAGGTCACCGTCAAGCAGGGTTAACCTGGGCGCTGCCATGACATGTTTGGACCTGGGCGAGCCTGCCGTGACTTGCGGGGATGGAGCACGGCACCTGGAGCTTCAAAAAATCCTGGTGGTTGGTGTTTGGTGACCTATTCTGTTCATGTTCCATGTAAAAGAGAACAGAAACACCGTGCCATGAGCCATTGCCAAATGAGTCCTAGCACTCACTACTAGGTGGCACGCTGGCAACTATATTATCATCCTGTATGCTTTATCTGGTTCTCAGAGCTCATCCAGGGACGCAACCATCCACCACCAACGAACCAGGGAGGCGACCAACCCAACCACTCGGCCCCCAAAACTCCGCTAAAAAACCCGGTGCACCCACAGCGATATGCTTTTGCTTGCCGCCAGGGCGAGAGCTTTGACGAGGTGGTCCTCAATGTGGCCTGGATCGAAGGTCGGCGGAAGGTCGGCCGGTCGGGTGGATCCTTAGGTCGGCTGGAGGTGTGGACTGGACACAGAGCTGAAGAATCCCTCTTGGGTTTGATGGATTGGTTGGAATATCCCAGACGCGACCCATGGGACTGCCATAGGACGGCCGATCAGGCCAGGGGTGGTGCCAGGGGGGTCAATGTAGGCATATATGATCATACATGGAGTGTGTGGGTATATTGTTGTAATTAGGGAATTGACCATGCTGTTTGCGAATAGAGTTGCAACGTCTTAGGGGTTCCAAACAGGAGACTCCTGGGCGAACCAGAATCCCATGCTGGCGCAACCTTTGGATGGGCGGCGAAACACCCATGGCACATCAGCCGTTTCCACCTGCTGTGCTGCTGTGCGTTGGAGGAAAGAAGAACCTGCCGTACCAAGAGAGGTCGCCAGTGACCGGGACGAGGATGAGGACCACCGACTTACCCAACTGGAAGGACCGTCGAACAGTCGGGTTCAAACACTTCTGTTCCCAAGCACGACCTGTCTGGGACTGGCGACCGCCCCATTGGGGTGATGCCAGAGGAGTCAATGTATACCTAGAAGCACCTGGGGCAGAAATTTCTGCCTCAGTCCGGTTTGCCCGGGAGGATTCGCGGATTTAGGGGAAATCCGCGCCAGGTAGGAATTTCTGCGGGCAGCAGGGAATTTTTGCCTCAAGCAAAATCCAACATAGCAACTCAAAAACCATTACAACCTACCAGGTTGTCTCTTCCATGATTGCAGACCACATACCGTTCTGCATAGCTTCACATCTCAAGATCTGACACCCTACGATTTTGACACTTCTAAATTCATGACATTCACAAAGAGGCTGCGACATATGTTCAAGCCCTTCAAAGGCATCAAAGGCACTGTTCTTGAATCCCGCCTTCTACCAGGAAATTGCCGCCGGCTTCCGGGTATTTCCGCCGTTTTCCCGGGTATTTCCGCCTCTTTCCCGGGTATTTCTGCCTTTTTCCCGGGCATTTTCGCGCCAGGTGTTTTCAACTTTAGACTGATTTTAGTCCTTTTGTGATCATTCCGCACAAGAAACCTTCAAAAGCAAAGACACATATATGATATGATGGTAGCCAGATTTGCAGGTGGAGGTGGAAACTTAAGCGCTGCAAATTGCTTTTTCTCATTGCGGTGACTGTTCCAGGCAGAAATGCCCAATGTAAACCACAAAGATATTCAACTCCTCTAGAATATGTAGTCTTTGTCTCACTGGATTCCTGAAAGGGAATATTCGCGGCAACAACAACATTTCCGTGGCAAACAGCTGATTTCCGCCCCAGGACGGGAAGAGCCGCTCTTCCCGAAAAAGGCAAGAATTTCTGCCCAAAGGATCTTCTAGGTATATATATGTTAATCCCAAACAGGTCGTGTCTGGGGTTGGTATGCCTGGTGTTGCAGATCGGATGATGTCAATGATGTCTATATGTTCATCGATTTTCCCGACGACCTACGAATCCCTTTGTTTTTTATATTGAGGCCCCTCATGAAACCTATGAAGCAGCCAGTTTGTCGCAGCCCTGTGGTCAGCTGGGTGTTCCTCAACCGCCTGCGCCCCTGTTCGCAAGTGATTTGGTTGGCCCATTTTTTCCTTGCTACGTGAACGATGTGAACATGGGTCATTCAATTTCAACTCATGTCACATTTCCTCCCAGGGGAACTCCACCGCCAGCTCGGCCCCCAACAACACACATCCCAGACACGACAAATGCTTGGAATACTTAGAAATCAGGATGATCAGGGATGGTTGAAGTTCGGCGTGAGCTATAGGTAAATCATTGTAAATCACTCCGTGTGTGCCATATCTACCAACAAATCTGGGATGGTTTTTCATTTTGCGTTGAATATCGTTGAATGCATCAATCTTCCAGTCCCAAACAGGTCGTGCATTGGAAATCCTCGGGACCTTCCTCGGTGCGGACCGCCGTTCCTCCCAGGTGACGGCTCGAGGATGGTTGGGCGACGCTACGGAGCGACCGGATGATGTGTGGCGGGGCGGGAAGGCGTTGTTTGGGCGAGAAGAAATGGATGGGCCTCCCGTTTTTTTTTTTCGGATTGTTCTGGACAATTTTTGTGGAATTGAGGAATGTGATGAAGCAGATTTTATCTAGATTAAGTTTACATAGGCCTCCTGGCCCGCATAGATCATTAAGTGACACCTTGCACCCAGCCCAACCACCGAACCTGAGTGTGCGGGAGGGAGCCCTGGGGCATCAGGGTGAGCTCCTTCATTGTTCAGGACACTTGCCTAGAGTCACATGCTTTCACATAGTCTTTCTTGCGTCTATCCGGGTGTCTAATTCGCTGCTAGTTGTGGTACATTCATTCACCTCAAGATCTTCAAAGTGCATTTCGACTGCGCAGGCTCGTAGAAATTGGTGGGCTGGAGAGGGTGCATTCCTCGACTGCGCTCTCGTTGTGGCGTCGTGCGCATTTGCGGGCTTGGTGGTCACATTTCCTGGCAGGTGCAGGGGAAACCTTGTGCTTTGGCGAGTGCACTTCGAAGTGCAGATTTTAGCATTGGACATGGTGGTGGTCGTCCTGACTTCGCGGCAGTTGCAGTGAGCCGTGAAATTTGGCCATTGGACATAGGGCCGCGTTTTGGATTTGATGTTGTCTTTGGAAGCGCTCAGATCTGCTCTTCGTGCCATCGATCCCAGACCACCAGCGCGTTGACGGCGCTACGAGTTTCCGCGCGCGAGGGGCGTGGACGGAGTCGCGCACTACATGGTCAAGGTGCCCCAAGTTGTTTACGCAGAGGGGATCATTGGGAGACACTTGGCCACCGGAAGGACCATTTACATCAAAATTGGCCCTTGAAGCTGCAAGTAGCGCTTTGTGAGCTGAAGATTTTCGTGAACCTGGAAGTGCAAATTTGGTGGCAAATTTTTTTTTGCTCGCGTGCGTGTGCTCTCGGATGTGTCTCCTCATACTTGTATACATGTGCTCTCCCATGTCATCTCCAGATCTCTAAAGATCTCCAGACCTCTCGGTCTCTGGTCGTTTCTGGTTCTACACCTAGACTTTCTAGATCTCCCGCGACCTCTTCACCACCCTGTTCAAGGAACAAAAACTTCACCCCAGACCTTCAATGAAAGAGCACAGTGAAGCATGGACTGGCAGTGACCAGTTTCTTCACTGTCGACCTTTTCAAGATGGTGGCAACTGATCTGTGAAGAGCTCTAGGCCTCTAAACCCCAAGGCCGTTTGATTTCACTAAGTCATTCCACCTCTAGAATCTCTTTGGGTCGCAAGACGGCTAGATCCCCCGCCTCTCGGACGCAGATCTCCAGTTTTTGAACTCTAGGTTTCTAGGTGTCTGGACTCTGGACCTTCAATATTTTAGGTTTTTTGGTGTTTGGACCTGGAGCTCTTGATATCTCTGGATCCCAAGACCTTAGACATACCTCCTTGCTCGATCAGTCAGATCAGAGGGTAACTATATTTGTTTCAATATGCAATGACATGCAATGACTGACTATGTTTTCGGAGGGTGTATGCTCCAGTTGTGGACCAGGCATCATGCTATCAATCAATCGATCATACTGCAGTCATGGCCTCCCAGGTCATGCCAAGCTGCAGGTACTGCAAGAAGAGTTGATTGCATGCAATGGCCAATGGAAGCTGTCAACCCTATACCAACGTTTCGTGTCACGAAAAAGCTGCACCGGAGTTCACATGACACAACTGTTCATTTTGACTGGCCGGAACTTTTGGACGATCACATTAATGCGGCTTGCGCACTAGATATTGGCACATCCAAGGGATCTAATACATATCAATATGACTCAATATGCATGACAATGGTTTTACAACAATTTGCTCCCAAAAAATGCATCGGAGGCCCTTGAGCCGCGATTGGTGGTTCGAAAGCAAACAACGCTGCAGCGCCCAATCAACATTTGCAGAACCAAAACAGCCCTAAAACGTTAACGCTTCGTTTTGGCTGGTGTGATGAGTTTTGTGGAACACCTTGGGCTGGTGGTTGGAGGTTGACTTTGCCTATGGATCAAAGCATGGACAAAGCATCACCGTGAGCATAGCTGTTCCATGAACCCATCCGATGTCCGTCGTCCTTTGAAGAGGTGAAGAGGTGAAATGAACATCAACTGAATGGCTGAATGTCTTTGGTTCAAATCCCTGCCTTCATGCCTTTCCTTGCATGTTTTAAAACAAGAACCATGTCAACTCTTTGCTCTTGCTTTTATTTTGTTTTCTCGGAGACTCTGTCCGTGGCCGCGCGCAATGTTAACTAAAAAGAGACACATGATGTCACTACCTTTTTGCCCTGAATTTGACGTGATGGATCCTGGATGTGTCTTTAACACAGTCACAGACCCGATGCGTGAGTGGAGATCCTTCCTGTCCCACCGGTGTTGGAACCCCGCAGCCGGCCCAAATCCGCCGAGCGGTGCGAACGCCGCAGGAGACGGTGGCCAACTGGGTGGAGATGAGGCCGAAGGATCTACGCCTCGAGTCCAAGGCCGAAAGCGTTTCGGGAGGACGAGGACTGCATGGACGACCGACTGGATCTCGACCGAAGGACGAGGATGAGGTCACGGATATCCAATGAGAGGATAGGATCCTATACCTCACCTGGGGTACCCTGGCCTGGGATAGTCTCGAAATGTCTCGAAGCGTCGGGTCCCTCAATCCTGGTAGGGCCTGTAGATGATTTTCGGCAGTTGCAATGGGAACACAAAACATTCAAGCCTGTACTAAGACCCCCATTTCGGGGTGTCTAATTATAGCTCCTTAGAGGTTAAGGTTAAGGTTATGGGTCCTGGTAGATGAGGTCACACACAGAGACTCCAGGGTCGAGGGTCACGTCGAGGGTCCAGGGTCGACCGCGAGAGAATGGGATCACCGACTCGGTCATTGGGTCTGGATGTTGGAAGCCCACCCAATCTATGCCCACTTTCCGTCATCTAAGGGATTGTTTTGCATGTCTAGTCAGTGATCTCTGAAACCCTCGTGCCAGGGGTTTGGACCACCCAGGATCTCCTCCAGCACTCATTCTCCACGCTCTGTTGACACACGCGCGTGTAGAACACGCAGGGCATCATGGCCGCACTGGTCTCAGCAGCTTTTTCCAGCGGCGGCTTCCTACTGCTCCTGGCATCTTTGGCTTGGAGGGACGTACTGAAGATAGGTAAAATGGTTTTGAGGACTGAGCACAGGTTGGGTATTAGTACCCTACAAGTCAGTTTGACCTCATTTTACTGGAGATGATGGTCATACAAATCCAATACTTAAACAGGTAAAAGGACCAGGTTTTTACTGGGGTCTTTGGACTTGTAGAGTGGTATGTATACTTTGCATTTGTAGCTGTAGGTTGTGTTTTTGTATGAATGGAGTCTTTTTGAGGTGATCCAAAATCATCGTCCGGTAAAAGAAGGTGCGTTATCAATGATCAATGGTCAAAAGAGCAGGCAGGAGTGTTGTTGATGCTTTTGACTGTTTGATGTTCTGTCCGGTCATCTAGAGATTTTTTATGTTGGGAACCCAACAAAGACCATCCAACAGAACCAAGCAGCAGCATGAAAGAGCCGTATACAAAGATGTGCTCAGTGTTTACTACATGTCTCAGGTGTCTACAATCACCAAGCCTGAGGAGGTGCCGGTGTATTATTAGGGATCTCCTGCTCGAGGAATGTTTTCCAACTCTTTTGATCCTCCTAGTTTGAGAGACTTGTTGTCTCCCCACATGTGGGGAGGACATCAATGAGTTCTCGAAACATCTTGAAACCATGGGTAGATGAGCCCTAAATGCTTAGGTGCAGAACGAATGGGATGAATATGTATTTTTGGAGTGATACGATTCAGCGATACATTTTATAGGGCTCCTGTCCTAACTTTTAAGAAGGTATTCGGACCCCCCAAAGCCACCCCAAGCACCTTTGAACATACGTAAGGTAGCTGGAGATGTAGGTTGTAGATAGTATGGAAGTAGGGCGTGTTCACAAGCAAGATGGAATACATGGAGCTGGTTAGTCCTCGTATGGGTCGTGGGTCGTATATGCTTGTCACCCACCTGGCTGTCCCCTCCTTCCACCGTGCACCGAGTGAGGCCTATTTCCCGGTGCACCTGGTCGTGAATTTCATCGCCGTCGGGGGTCCCGCCGCGTTGATCGTGCTGGGCGGCTTGAGCATCGCCAATTCGCCCATCACTGCACTGCTGGGGCTCGAGGTGCCCTCCACGAAGACGAGCGGAAAGCGCGGTGGAAGGGTTGGTGGGTGGCGCGCGAGTTGCGGTGGTTTTCGCGAGAGTTTTGGGAGTTGGGGTGGTGGTCTATGTGGTCTATACAGTAAGTATATATATATAGAGTACGTAGAAAAGGTCTGCTCGTTTCCGGTGCAGGTGGTTGGTCAGTGTGGGCCAGGAACCCTAGAGGGGTTTAACTGCTATGAACAGAGTAAACAATCCAACTTAGGGTTCTATTGTCTAACCTAAACACGTTGCTTTATGTAGTATGTAAACTGTTTCCCCCTACTATAGAGAGAGCTTCTGACGTCGACGGCCTGATGAACCGAACAAGACGGAATGCTTTGATTGAACCAGAAACAAGGCTGGGCCAAAAGAACTTCCTGGTCGCCCTTCTTCTCTTCAGAACGCAGGATGGTCCCCTAGAAAAGAAGAAGAAAGACAAGTTTATTTGCCTCTGATCCCAATAGGGCTCCTGTCCCACCTTCTGAGAAGGTTGGGGTGGGTGCCAGTTCTTATTTTGTCGTCCCTACTTTCTGAAGATTTGCAGATCGGCAGGGTACGCAGATCGGCGGTGCTGGGTCGGTGCGGTGCTGTCGGGAAATGGAAGGTAATACCTATATAGCACTTCCTGTCTTCCGTGAATGGAGACCTATAAGCCCGTTTTGGCACCTACATAGCGGTGTCTCCGTCCTCACCTGCTGAGAAGGTACGACTGGATCCCTACGGAAGTATAGGGTAGGGTAGTCTGTTGGGAGATGCATTGGATGATCCTGGTACCTGAAGATCTTCCATGTTTCATAGCTTGTGCCTCAAAAATGAGAGCGATGATGACAGATCCATCCGTGGCTTCTTGAAACCCATCAATATGAACTCCGAAAAGCTCGGCCTTTGATCCCTCGGAGTTGGAGCTGTTTCCGCTGGGGACCGACCCTTGGGAGACCGAAGCGCGCTTGGAGCAGGCCCATTTGGGTTGGCCCTTCATGATGCTGGGCCTCTTGATCGAACATCAGAGGAACATCCGGAAGAACAATACAGAAGTACAACCTTGCTTTGGCTTAGGAGGTTGTTTGATTTGAAACGAACTTGGGTAGGCATGGGGGTTGTTTTTTGGGTTTTTCGAGTTTTGTGGACAGCAAATACAGAAGACCAGGGGCGCCACTCACCATCAACAACCTGGTTTTCCGCAGAAAAACAAAAAAAAAACGGTTTTTGTATGTGAAAACCCTAAGGGCCACTGAGAGGGACTTTGAAAAACACCTGTGTGAGTGGAGGTGACGGATGTGAAAGGGCGTGGAGTGGTCGCGAGTTCCGCGCCCAACCAAACACCCCCGACTCCCCGGTCGGTTTTGTGCTGAGAAGCGAGTAACCAGGATTGGGCCATGGGGAAGTTTTGGCCACAAGGTCAGAAATCAGGGTGCGACTCGATAATATGTTGACACAAATCAAAGAATACCCGCTATGATCTGGTCGTTTTTGACCGGTGATGCATTCTGAGCAGATTGCTGAGCGGCAACGGGAAGGAGAGGTGATTTGAACATCCGATTGCCCCCCGATCAAGAAAGGGATCTGCGCAGAGAAGACCATAAGACCAAGAATGAAGGGGTCCAAGACATATCGATGTCAGCAAACTTGCGTCAAGCCACGTTGCTGTGTGTGTGTGTGTTTTTGTTGGTTTCAACGTTTTAGTTTCTTGGTGAAGCATCATAAGTTGAATCAGAAGGCATTCAGGGAACGTTTAAACATGTCTAAAGCATGCCCCGGGAACATATAAAACATCAGATCCTTTGTTGGTTGACCTGAGCCTCAACACTTCTTCTCATTGTCCTGTAATTCGCTGAAGCTCACTTCATTCTGGAAACCAGGCTTTGACCCATTGAACGCAACAGTGATGATACTTTCACATCAATCAACGGCTGTGAAGATCATTCCCTACAGATGCACCTTCTCAAGCTTGCTGTTATGTAGGTTCCAGGAGGATCCAGTGGTACCGAACCTGAGAAGGTATGACTGGATCCCTAGGGATTGTGCTGACAATTGATGACATTGAAAAACCTGACTTCATGTCAACCTCCGCATCTAGTCTAGCCAACTTGCCCCCAATCCAGAAGAGGAACATGCTCACTGCGCACCACCCAAAGCCAACTCCGAGGTTGTTTGCAACAAAATGGGGAATACATCTCAACTCCGAGGTGTCTTGGGGCTGATTGGAACCAGCTTCGCCTGGCAATATCTGCGCCTGGGCATTGCTGTGCTCCGCACCAGCGCTGCCTTCATCCGGGCCAGGCACGGCGCCCCACGTTTGTTTGTTTTGTTTTTTTTAACGCGGCCAGGCCAGCGCATGAAACGCACAGCAGTGACTGCGATCTGATCCTCCTGGTTTTGCTTGTTTGGCGAGTCTTCCATTTTCCCGAGCTGGACCAATTCCCATTCTCAGAAATATCTTTTTATTGGTTCCCGGTTCCTGGACAGTAAATCCAAGTTCTTGTTCAGTCGGGGATGTGGTTTCGGCTTTTCGATTCTTTGTGAAGGCGGCGCCACACAGGTGTAGTCAGCCATTTTTGTTGCACTAGGCAGTCAGTCAGTCAGTCAATCACCAGTGAGTCGTCCAGTTTTCTAGTAGCGCCAAGCAAGCAAGGCCCTCCATCGGCGCCTATCCGCTGCTCTTTGGCGTCGTCCATCTGTCAGGGCTTTGCCTTTGGGCGTTGGCGGTCTTTGGCATTCGCCGCTCGGAGCCGCGGCGCGCGGCGCGCGGCGGTCCGGCCGGCTCGCGACAAACGAAGGGGAGGTGGTGAAGGTGGGACAGATAGAGAGAGAGAGGGTATGACTGAGTTGATTGAGGGGAAATTCATGTAACAAGAGCGAGTCTAATAAGCTTTGGGAGATGCGTGCAGATGTTTCCCAGTGTTGAGATCCCGGCCTACAGTTTTGAACGGCCGGAAGTCAGGAGGCAGCAGAGGTTGCCGCTGAAAGGGTGAGCTTGTGCATAAGTTCAATGGACAGTCATGATTGCTGCTTGTGGTTGAAGACGTCCTATAAAACTAGACATGGCACCCATTCTCAAGGGGTGCCAGCTACTGTGTCGGGAACGTGACAAAAACAAGCATGTTGTGCCGAGATGCTTCAGGTCGAAAGTAGCAGGTTTCGGATCCCTCCGGATCCAAGTACAAAGGTACTACTTGGACCCTACATATCAATGTCACCAATCACCGTACCTGAGAAGATACTTGAATCACTACGGCTTGCAATTGGGTAGTTCTTTTGCCACTGAGAGAGCTGGCAGTGCATTATCCATGTCCCAAGTCACTGCAAATTGCAACCCTGTCCATTCTTCCGCTGCAGCGCCCCAAAAACGCCGCTGCTGGCGACTGAGGCAGCAGTTTCCAAGATCAGATCGAACAGATGGATTGGCACTCCCAGCACATGGGGCTCAAATCATTGCGGATTGGGTGTGGTTCTGGTCTTGATGCACTTGCCAGATTTCAGGTTAAGGTCTTGATGCACTACTCCGGTAACACAGTAACCAATACAAAAGAGTTATTGCTCTCTTGGAATCACCTTGGAACTTGCTCGGCAAAAAGGACGTGGAAGAGTTCAAAGATCCACCGACGTGTGTGTGTGTGTGTGTGGAGGTGTTGGAAGATATTGTTTGTCCAAACCTGGAAGCAAGTTTCTATAGTTTCTACTTAAGTACTATGCTGCATGGTGATCTATGATGGGTTTTCCAAGTCTCTGAAGGTGGTTCCAGTGCTTCTGCCGCTTTTCAGCAAACACTATTGGGCAGGTTTCAATCACTTCAAGACCAAGCCAGTGCTAAGAGAGATTAAGTGACCTGAAGAAGGACCCGTCACATGGGGTACGGATAGTCCATGATAGTCCATATGGGATAGATAGTCCACCAACGGGTTCTTTAACCTCTCTTGGAAAGCTAGGTCTCCCAGACACGACTAATGGGACTGGAATACATTGTGTGACCCCTTTTCAACCACCCCAACTGATCGGCAAAGATATGACAGTCTCAGATGGCGGTCATGTCTGGGATTTGAAGATCAAAGGTCAGCCAATCGGGTCCAGGGAACTCGATGCCAAACAGCCGGCCCTTGGGATCCACCAGTTGACCCTGAGAGGCCGGCGCGGTGAGGACGGAGACACGAGGGTTTTCTTGAGAACTGGGCCATCCGGATGATGTGTGATGTTCCCGAACTGGGTGAATCCCCCGAAGCTGAGACATGTATGTTACTTCCGATGCGGTTCATGCTATCCTGGGACTGCTGACTCCAACAAAGCTGATGGCCAATGTGGAGTCAGTTGCCAAAGAAGCTTTGTTAGTCCAGATGGACAAGGAAGTCTACGACCTTCCCTGGCAGATGGATTCATCCTTAGCTCTATCGAGGAGATGAATGATCATCACAACTTGACCATGACAGACACCGATGGAGTAAAAGGTATGGCAAAGAAGTCATGGGTTGATCTTTCAGAAAAGGGACTTGTTGTTCCCTATGGCGTGACTGCAACCATGTAAAGTATCGTGATTCTATTCTGAAGAGTGTGGCCCGATGCGATCAACAAGGACCTCATTTCTCAGAAGGGAAGAGATGAAGGGGTTCTCCAAACGAACTCTGGCTTGAGCAACGGGGAGCCAAGGCTCCAATCTCCCTCGGCGCGGGGGAGTGCCCTGGGTGTAGGAGATCGGCGCGCTCAAAGTGCTCGGCATCTTCATCCCCCGGAGACTAGAGAGGTCGGAACCAATGAGCGCAAGGTTCTCAAGACGTACACGGGACGCTGGCTACGAGCCTCGCTGGCTACGCCATGTTAAAGTATGGCAATGAGCTGTAGGTCGAGAATAACGTGGGTACTGGCACACATATCACGGCATCTCGGGGTCGGAAGAATTGACTATGCACGACAATATTTTCCAATTTGGTTTGGTGACATGCCGACTCAGTCAACAAAAGACAACCTCGATCCCGAGTGTCAGCTGTTGCCTCCTTCTCGACGATCTCTGCAGACACAGACTGACACAGACACTATAGTTTTTCGATCTATAAGGCAGCACTTGCGAGCTTTCATGGCTCATGATATTTTTCCCAAGGAATTTCTCCGGAATGCCTCTAGCTTGCGTCATTTAGGCTTTGGTCCATCATACAATGGAGGTTTTTCCACGTCGACCACTACTCCCAAATCCTTCCCAGGTCAATGCAGTGCTACAGAAATACCAGGAAGAACAACATGTTTGAACACCCTATATCATACTAATCTTCCGGTTCATTTGGATTTCAGATTTCTCAGCCTCACCGCAATTAGCACATCCAACTCTTCCGGTGTGGCCTGAGCTTATGCTTTCACCAGAAATCATGCTTTTAGTCAAAGCATTTGGAAAGCTCTCAAAAAGACCATTTCGCTCGATGAATCCAGCTGCCTTCATAGGCTGTTATGGATGATCACATTCATCCTCCTGTACAGTACATGTTGACTGCTCTATCTTTTGCTCATTTTCACCCTACCTCTCATACCCAGTATAACACGGTCCGGGGGTGCTTACAACGGCGGGGTTGGATGGTTTGTAGGAGTCGTGTGTGGGACTGTTTTTCCCACCTGTCAGGCGAGGGTTTTTATGTCAGTTGCCGTGCTTCTCCTCTCCGCCCCTCCTCGTCCTCCTCAACCGCGAGCGTCGGATGGCAGTGTTCTCCGCCGGACCTCAACCGCCAGCTCCGGATGGCAGTGTTCCCCGCCGGACCTCAACCGCGAGTCAGAAGATATGCCAGAAAGAGTGTCAGAAGATATGCCAGAAAGAATGCCGAAAAATAATTCAATACATGCCAGAAATGACTGTCAGACTGAAATGTCGTGGTGGGGACCGCTCGAAGTAAAGCAATACAATTTCCAGCATCTTGGACAGCAAATCCAAGTCGACCCGGTTTGGAGTTTGGAGTGGCCTAGTGGCGCACTGAACCTGGAAAGATGAGGGAGGGACGCCGCCGAACTGGAGGGTAGCTGCCAATGCCAGGAAGTATTTGGCAAATGCGTGGCAGAACGGCAATGGCGTTTCTCACAAGGCACAAGTGCTTGAAAACATTACAGTAATTGTGTTTTCTGGAATCTCCCCTTGTGGAACCTCCGCCCCTTTAAGCCCAACAAGAAGGGAGTCTGGAAATAGCTTGAAATCCGCAGTTTCACCCGCCATGCCCCCAGAAACTCCTCCCTCCAACCATCGCAAACCTCGCCTGACTTGTTCATAATATATATGGCCGAAACCGACCGACCGAGGTTCGGGACGGCCACGGCCATGTTGCTGTGCTTCTTGTGGGGCAACGCCTTCGTCACAGGCGACGCGCGACGGACCAGGAGGGCTGTGGCGGGGCGAAGTCGGCAGGTTCGGGACGGATGGCAGACGGCATGTTTTTAGATGGGAGAGATACTGATTCAGATGATGCACGTAGAAACTATAGACATGAATGAGGCCCCTGTTGTCGGAAAAAAACATATGGATGACTTGGATTCAGGGGTTTTCTTGATCCAACAATGGTCACTCGGTTCTGCAAAAACTGTTGGACTCATGGTGCCAGTTGTTTGGTTTTCCATGTTTCTCGGCGTTTTCCCCACCAACAAGGTGAGAGGTGGTGAACCCAGTCCGATGGCCAGTCCCCAAAACCGTGTCCCTTGCAGCAGCTCCACCCAGTTCGCGGTTCTGTGGGTCCCCCCCGGTCCCCCCAAAACGAAGAATCAATCCATTAAATTCATCGCCACCCCAGTTCCTGCGGTGGTGCTGGTAACTCTGTTCTGTTCCAATTTAGATGTGGTTCCATACCCGGGCACCCTGATTGACAACAGATTCCTCTATGTTCGGGATGTCAACCTGGTTTGGTGGGGTCGGTGGGAGACGGGGTCCGTGCCAACGGGACTACGTCCGGACCCGACCCCCCGCCACCCGACGCTCCATCACTCGCCAGGCTTGTCCACCTTCGCGGTGTCCTATGCTGCCTGCCACTGGTATGGGCGAGGAGCGGGTGTCCAGCGGAGTTCGCGGAGTTCGACACCAAAAACACCACGGAGAGCGGAAAAAACGACAATGGAGAGCGCCCGAGGGTGTGAACTGGCCATGTTTTGTTTGGTTGTTTGATGTGTTAAGTTAGCAACTGATATGTGCCAGTTCAACATAGTTCCACAGAATGCCAGTCCGAGGGCCAGTTGAATGTGGACATCACTTCTTTTGGCCAGGAGATTGAACTGGCCCCGCGAACTTCAGGGGAACTGCACCCAGAGATCCTGAAATGCAGAGGTTCCTTGCTATACCCAGACCCAGAGTCAGGTTTCGGCATACAACTGCGCCGGAAGATTAGTTTCCAGCATGAGGTTGTTTTTGGTCGTTTTCCACGTTTACCCGGAGATTGATTCCACCCAATTCGTCAGGTGGGTCATCCATGCACACCAGCAACACTCACTCGCATGCAAGCCATCCAGTCAACTTTGAGCGTCGCGAGTGCCTCAAAGAATGCGTCACAGTGCATGTTTAGACCCCTACAAGTCAAAGACCTCATTTACTGGAGATGGTCATTCAAAACCAATACTTAAGGAGGTAAAAGATCAGCTTTTACTGGGTCAGACTGGACCTGTAGGATACCCACCCAACCAGCAGAACGGTGTTTCATCCATTGGGCGGGTTCCTGGAAAGGCGCGTGGTGAAACACCGCGAGGACCCGCCGATGCTGATCGCCCTGGGCTCTTGCCCACGGGCATTCGGGTCGGCTTGAGGTACCATGCAGGCGACCGTGGGCGAGCGGAACCTGCTAATGTCGACGTCGGATTAATCAACGGCCCCCCCCCCTAGAAGGTCAACAAGGTCAACAAGGTCTGAGATTGAAGGTTTTGGAGATCACATCCCCCTAATAGTGGGGATGACCTGATGATGAAAGGGAATTAGTATTTGGAAGAATTGAGATGAAAGGGAATTAGTATTTGGAAGAATAGTAAAAAAATCAATACATTCAAAAAAATATGTTTTTCCTGGTGGGAGAGGGGGTAGACGGGTAGACTAATAGGGGGGGGGTTCAGCCAAGCAAAATTTTTATTAGAGGGTGGTGACTGTGAAAATTCATAGTTCAAATTAGTTTATTATTGGGGCCTGAACGCTGGGTAGACTAATAGGGGGGGTTGGCAAATCCTATGTTGACATTACTGTAGGAGTGATAAAGACAGGTCGACACGACACCCTACACTCTATGGATGGAAGACTCACCAACCGTCCAGCAGGGGGTAGCTTGATGGAGTCAATGCACTAGGCAGATACATATCTTAGAGTGGTTGGGAGTGAAGAAGTGGACGTTCTCGGGAAACATCGGCTCTGAAGGACGTACGGCACTGTAATTTGATAGGAAAAGGCGTACGGCACTGCAGAAGAGTGCTCACTCAGGCCAGGCAAACCATATGTTACCACGAGTTCGTAGGTAACCAGTGGTTTAAAAGAAGACTATATACATGCCGTAGACCAGTTGAAACCTTGATTCTATGGTGGGAACTGGGATTCCACTGAGCTATATCAATGCCATTGTGCTAAAGAAATCCAGATGCCACCAAATGAGGGGCACCCAACAATGAAGAGCAACGCTCGACTCGTGGGAGCTCCATGGCACTTCTGATAAGGCAATGACTCACCAAGATGGAAGTGCCAATCCGACAGAGAAGGATTTGTTTTTGTTTTACGTCGATAGGAACTGAGGGGTGTGTGATTGATAAAGCAGGCAAATCAATTTGACCCTTGCGCAAGTGTTTTTACATGGAACAACCGATCCGCGAGGAGCACTTGCATTTGCTTGAGTCCGCAACAAAAACTGAAGCAATCAGAACTGCATTTGTCCAGTGGGTCAGTCACCTTCCAAATCTTCCCGAGGGATAATACCGAGACGATCGATTGCATGATTAACTCTGTCCCCAGACCTTCTTTCATACCATGTGCGAAGGTGCGACTAGATCCTGTGGCACACCTAAAACAGAGCTCTTTGCAGCATGAAGGGTTGGTTGCTGCTTTGTATTTGATTCTCTGCCAGGCTCCGTTGCACTGGGCTCTTTGCTGCTGGTGCCTTGGGCTGAAAGAAGCCCTTATGAACCAATTAGCACGGACAGCTCACCCAATCATCAGGAAATCCTATACCTTTAGCACCAATGTGAACGGGCCGGTGGTATAGTTATATGAAGAAAAACAAACGAACAAGCAAAGACATATAAATCAAATCAAACAACCAAACAGATCGGTTTGTGTTCCTCTTTCCTTACATGGTTATTTGTGTAAGTTGTTGTTGCCCCAGAAATCGATCTGCAACGACAGCAGACCGGCTTGGGCGATGTGGCGATGTGTGCACCCTGCAGTTTTGCGAGAATGTCCATACCCTACCCGGTCAGTGGATACGTTGCAAAACCTTTTTTTGGGGGAGTGGTTTCCCTACTAAACAAGAAGTGGTTGGAGCGATAGAACTGGTAGAAAATTGTGTTAATGTCTATTTTCCTCGGACACTGAGGGAGTCAGATACTTTTGCTCATGATTGCGAAGGGAGAAGACGGAGTCAGGAATCATCAGGAATCCGAAAGCAGTGAAAGCAGAGTCAGGAAACATGAGGAAACCATGAGGCCAGGTGGAACCGGCTTCTCCTGACTCTGTCACCATCTTTATGGCAATTCTTGGCATTAGCCTATTGTCAACAATCCCTGCAGCTGGTTCCAAGTGACCCAGACTGGTCCACGCAAAGAAGAATTGTCGTGCATGGGTGACATGGTCAGCATTTGCTAGGCGGTTCAGTCGCAGAGGTCATGAAATTGGTGAACAGACCTGCGCGGTGTTCCATCTGTTCAGCCTGGGTCACCTTTTCTAAGGCTGATAGTAGCCAACCTGAACTGAATCAAGTGTATGGCGAGCTAGTGGCAGCCCCCTTGGTAGGTGGATTATTGAATGTCTTTTGGGGTGTTGGGATGTTCATGTAAACAGTTTTTGTCGAAAACAGTTACTATGTGTTCACCAAACCATTCTTAGGGGCTCTGAACATGATCCAGTGGATACATCACGCATGTCACATGTTTCTAAGGGTTGATTACTTGGAGGACTGTCCCAGGTTTCCACAACTTCTCAGAGGGGAGTGGATCCATAGTACGAACATGTACGAACCATCCATATTTTGGGACTGATGCAACCATCCACCGCCCAATGGCCTTCATCCATCGCCTCCTTCTTTTTCGCCATGCCGTCTTGCGCTACGTCAAGGCCTTCGTACGGACGTTGAACGTGATGCTGTGGTGGGCGGAGAAGGCGCTTTTCGTTGGGCGTTGAGGCCTTCGGAGAAGGGCCATGAAAAGTCCGATCCCATGAACCAAATGCTCCATGTATTTCAAGGGCCCACAATCAACGAAGCTTCTTTTCTCAAGGTTTTGGGGCCTCTTTTCTTTCTGGCGCCGTATAACCACTTATTTGGTATATAGTATATATAGATACTCCGTAGACAGCATGGAGTTTGACAACGTCCAGATGGACCTGAACAAATAGCCAATGGCAGTGCCAATGGCCTAACCCCGGAAAAGTTGATAACCTGCAACACATTTCAACAGTCTTTTGGGAGATTGGTTTCACCCACGAAAATCCCACAGGTGGAAAAGGGTCAACCTCTATAGGGAAACTCAGAGAGTCAGGTGGGTTGGAGGAAACTCATCTTCCGGTGGGGTTAGTTTTCAGAGGCTTTGGGCTTTCAGAGGCTTCTCCTTGTCGCGATCTTTGAGGTCGGGTGGATGGAAAAAGACACCCAGTGGTCGTTCGACACGCTGACTCACTCCTTCCAGAAGACCCGTATACACTCTGACTCACTAACACAAAAGTGACAATCCTCCCTGTTGATAGAGGCAAGTATTCTTCCCTTCGGGACCATGCCATCCACGTAACCATGTGATGTGTTCGTCAGAGGATCAACTCCCCAGTGTAACCTGCCAAAGACCATCTGAAACCCAAAGCAGTCCGCTCAGACCGCCGACGCGGCCGCTTTCAGGCGCAGGAGGAGGCCACGGCCGCGGCCAGCGGCGCCGTGGGCGCCGTGGGCCTGCCACGCGGCGCTGGGCCCCGGAGGCGCGATGCGCGCCGTCCGGGCGCCGTCCGTCTGGCATTGCCACCGTACCTCAGACAAGGGGCCCGACTGGGTGCCAAGCTAAATAGTCTCCAATCAGCCTTACTTCAGAAGGTATGTGAATCCTTAGGGCGTGCTGCAAGGTTTGATACAACACGTGGGTGGTTTGGTACAGCCACGTGACCAATTTCGGAGGGTAGGTAGATATTGTGACCGGATGGGACGAATTGTTGGAATGTAGCTGGTGAGTTTCCAGAAAGAGATGCTGATTGTGGGATGCGGTGCTTATGGTTTAGATGACCAGTGTGTGACAATGTATGATTGGGACACCACACATTGCCTTTCCTCCACCTGCTCTACCTGGAACTTCAGTCTTGCTGTAGAAAACTCTTTGAACCTCATTTCACGGTGATTCTTTTGTGACTGTGCACACTGGTTTCGTGCCTGGTGAACAAACCCCGTGAAAGTGACCCTAAAACCCTACAAAGGAACTGCGTAGCCAAAAGAACAGAGGCTGGAGGTCCGTGCATTCAACGATCAAGTGGCCACAGATAAAACAGGATAAAACCACGGTTTTTGTGGCTTCCAAGCAGTTCATGTGCGCGTTCAATGGTAGATTTTGGGGTGTTTTCTTCGTCTCAGTAGCTTCGCACCAGCTGGTGCATACACAGATTCGGTGCCATGGAACCATATATCATATTGAGAGATCTGGAGTGTTTTTGAGGAGACAATCGTAGTGGGAACAGGTACGGTGGTTTCAGGCGATATGACAGAACACCTTTAGCACATTTGGCCTTTTGTTTAGCGGTTGTTTTCCTTTGTGCCGTCCGTCCTAAACCCACCAATGATGAATGTTCTACTTTCTCCCGATCTTGGGCATATCCAAGTACAGTCCAGACACAATGATTGCATGCATATTGGGACTTCATTGCAATTTAGACGGAGTTTCCAGATCATCCTCTCAGTGGCTAGTTAACCACCGGGAAGTCTATATTTATATTTCCTGCATGCCACTTATATACATATTAGTAAGAGAGCCAGAGCCAGAAACACTGCCACTACAGAAGTAGTCAGCCAAGCTGTGCTGTCGATCACGAGCATCCAACCAAATTGACCAAGATGTGTTTTCCCTTCCCTATGAGGATCCACTGCCACATCAAAAAACAATGGTGTGACTGGCATGAAATCATGGTACCGACAGTGGTTTCAGAGCAGATGGCGCAATCTACCCCAAGTTCGCTGGCGCAATAATGGACCCTACATGACAAGCAAAGACATCTTGGGGTGCTCCATCGAACCACTGAAAGCATTGTACATCAGTCTTCAGATTCACCTCAGCTACCGTGGATCCGCCAGCTGAGCTGCGTATGCGAGGCGCCCACCCAGCTTGCTGCGCTCCCTCCGGAACTTTGCGGCCGAGGTTTTCAGGGGGCACGACGTGCGTTTCCACAGAAAAGAAGGGGATTGAGAGTAATTGGATGGCACCAGCTACCCCAAGTAGTAGGTGATGTAATTACATGGACCCCCGGTTGTTCAATACATGTACTGGAAGGCTGCAAAGTGCCATCATGTGCCATCGAACGTGTGACAGGGATGAAAAGGATGATGGCTTGCACTGCAGAATTGCAGCTCGGTGTAAACCACCACCGAAAATTGAAGAACCGTCCATGACCGTCCCACAGGTTCGCCAGAATGGTCCTAGTTCAGGTCATTGAACTCATTTCACCTCCCTTGGCAGAGCTGTTGAGGGCGAAGACAGCTGTGGTCCGAGTTCGGAACCCACGAGAATCATGGGGGATCAAGCCGTGACCGGTGTTGCCTTCTCCGGAAGAAGCTGCGCAGTCCAGTGGGGGTTTTGGTCCATGTATGTCCATATGTCCGAGGTTTTGGGAGTTGACATATCCTTGAAAGAGGTTGACATATCGCGGAATTTCCCCAGTGGCTGCACCACGTGTTGCTCAGCCGCGGCATCGTGTCACACCGGTTAGGGCCGGTCATCGCTGAACACCGCGGGCAGGTGCTGGAAGTGGTGGCGACTTGGGCCTCGAAGCAAGCCTTCGTGCAGATCGCCATCAGTCGCTGAGACCAGGGAAGGGAGAGGAGTGGAGTGGAGAGTGGGAGGCAGGAACAGGACTGACCTGTGAGCGTATGGACTGGGAGGGGATGGATTTTGGGGGTGTGGAAGGCTGGTGTTGGAGTATGTGGTGGGTGTTGGAACAAGAGATCTCAAAGACATATTCAGTATGGCATAGTCAGATGATGGCATGCTCTCCCATGGCAACATAGAACTCAGGCCAGAAGACAACAACACAAATTCATCTCCCAGGCGGTTTCGCAAGGGGCTACATTTACGGGAGTGTATCCACCTCAAACCCAAAGACATAGTTTGTTCTTGGCATGTGTTTAAACATGTTTAAACCATTTAAGCAGTAGTCTTGAAGCGGTATGCCTGGGAACACGCGACGGGACGTGCAACGGTATAGCAGGAATGCCATTCACCAGACAGGTCATTGACTCCATCGGTGAAGGCCATGTGACTGTGAGTTCGCACTGTGTATACGTGACTTGATTTCCACTGCATATCAACATACAGTGTAGGAACCTAATACCTCGTTGTGGAGATACTCACCCTACCAAGGGACTTGTAAGTCGTCTCCTCAGGCTTGGGCATTTGGCGCTTAGAGAACAGAACAGTCGTTTGGCAGGTCATCTCTCTCCGTGTACAACACCCCCGCTGCGACTCAGCACCTTCCGCTCCGGTCCAACCTGCGACCTCGGTCCGTCATCGACCCAACACCCCAGCGGTGGGTACTTGCTCCGTTCGTAGTAAGGCCAGGAGCCCCTATAGTATGTAGCGTCCGATCGCTCCGTTGGTAGCGAAGCCAGGAGCCCCGAACGTAGCTTCTTGTTACTAGTAGCGTCCTAGTAGCTACAGGTGGGTGCCCCTTTGCTGCTGGCGCCATGCGTGCTGGGCACTTGGCGGCCAAGGCGCCTGCAGGCGCAGCACGATAAAACGCAGCACCGCACGGTCGCGACGTGGAGGGCGCGCGAGTCGCGAGTGAGCCACCGAGGTGGAAGAGGTAGGTGCGATCAACAGCTTTGGAGACAGATTTTGCCCAACGCCCTTTAGCGAGTACACCAGTCGCCATTTAATGTTGACCCTTGATTTATAAACTCCCCCCCCCAACAACCAAGGCCTCCAATATAATGTATATAAGAAAATCAATCAATTGATAATTAAATAAGGAATCCTTAGCTAGCTACCTCTGGAGCTACTCAACTGTTTAATAGAAATCTCCATCCAAAAGCCTGTAAGATAAGCAAATCCCAGCAAACTCAAAAGGGAAAAAGAAAACTATAACAATAAAACATATCCCACTGCAACTACCCCTCCCAAAAAAAAGACATTATTCTGGGGGCCTTTATAAATCTGTGCAGGAAAAAAAGTGACATTATTCTAGGGTCGTTTATAAATCAAAGGACCACATTAGGGAGCTGAAGTATCAACACGCCACACTTTTGTGGGACATTCTTGTCGGACACTCTTGCAGAGCACTCTTGCACAATAGACGTGGGACACTCGTCATTGTATTCAACAGGTCAACCCACGACTGTTGATGTTACTTCTGAGCGCTTCGTCAGAAAAACAATATTAGGTTTTTCCTTTTTTAACCCGACTCTCGTGATTCAACATTTTGAGATGTTACTTCTGAGCGCTTCGTCAGAAAAACAATATTAGGTTTTTCCTTTTTTAACCCGACTCTCGTGATTCAACATCCGGGCGTCGTTGTTTTCAGGAGAGATTGCTCGACTGTCCCAGCATTTTTCTCTACCCTCGGACCAATTTTGCTTGCATTGTCAGTGTAATTTTGTGTATACGTGTTTCTTGCACTGCATGCGTACAGTACACGCCAGTATATCCATGCAATTCGGCACACCGTGCCCACGATTGGAGCATGGCGTGGGGTGGGGCATGTTAACGTTCCTGTGCAGTTGCATGGGACGTTGATGCTATGGGTTATGTTAACGTTCATGCTAACTGGGGTAGGGTGGGATGGGGCATGTTAACGTTCATGGATCGGCATATTTCCAGAGTATAGCACCGCAACCAGTCCAAGCAGCAAAATGGCCGCTGAACAACTTTTTGTCGTAAGTCGCACAATTCCACACATCAATGTGTGGGGTTCTTGTTTTTCGCTCTGCACCCGCCCCTCCGTCCCGTCCCGTCCCGTCCTCCGTCCCTCTTACACCGCCACTCATCTTCCACCACTCATCTCACACCACTTACCACACAACACTCATCACACACCACTCATCTTACACCACTCATCACATCTCATCACTCATCACACGTCTTACACCACTCATCACTCATCACACACCACTCATCTTACACCACTTATCACACACCGCTCAGCTTACATCACTCATCACTGATCACTCATCACACATCTTACACCACTCATCACTCATCACACACCAC